AACACACCTCCCACACCAGAATGCATGGTTGGTGCAATTGCGTGGTACAGTGCGTTAATTGCACGGTCTATGCGATTAACGCACTGTGCCAGTGTGAATGGGCCCTCAAAAACACTGACATACATACAGACACAATCTCACACATTCAGACATTCTCACACACTTTTTAATACATACAGACACAATCTCACATATTCAGACATTCTCACCTTTTTTAAGGTCCACCCACTCTCCCTACCTTACGAGAGCTGGAGTGGATACTCAGCCTGAGGTCCAGTGCGCTATGACGGAGCTCCATTCATATGTGCATTGCTTGTACAGCTCCCCTGCGTGCCCTGTAGAGGTGCCGGGAGCCAACATGTGATGTCACTCCGGTCCAGGCACCTGTAAAGGACACGTAAGCAATGCATGCACGTATAGATGGAGCTCCCTAACAGCCATACCCCCATCCCATCCCACCTCAAGCTAACACTCGGCGCCGGGCAGCATATTTTGAATGGCTGCTTGGCATGAGAACTGACAGTGCTGCACTGGGGGGAGGTAGAGGAGCCTCTCACCTAGGAAAATGGAAGGCATGCGGCGACCCACTGAACATGGGGTCGCGACCACTTTTGGGTCACGATCCACCAGTTGAGAACCAAGGCTTTAAAGCATATATGGATCATGTCACAAAGGTTGTGAAGCCTCTACCACTGAGCAGCCTAGCCCAATACCAGTGGTTTTTTTTCTGTAATGTCCGATTCATCTCCAGTGTGGGAGTTTTCTGAGGAATGGGAAAGCTTTTCTTGTATTTCCTTTCATAAGAAAACAACAGGCAACAGGACCAGGCCAATGTGGCTGTTATACATAGTTTATGAATTTCAATACCCAAGTACCGAAATCTTTCAACCAGCTTTAACGGACAGGTGGCAGAATTGAAGGAAAGATTGTTGGTTCAATGGAAAAATGGTTGACTTTTCCCAGTAGGGAATGCCCAAACTTCCTGATTAAGAATAGCAATCTGTGTAAGGCTTGGCCATATACCTGTCAATTTATTTTGTTCAATCCGTGGGCTGAACGGAAGAAATTGACGTGATTCCGCCATCAACACAAACAGTGTGTCGATATAGGAATTGCCGCTGTTTGCATTGTGCACCTGTCAGAATACCCAATCAGAACGGGCAGCTCATTGGCTGCCGGCTCTGATCATACAAAGATTTTCCAGCAGGCTCCTTTGATTAGCTGATTGAGGAATGGCGGCTGAAAGGGAGCCAACAGCCCCACACAATGCAAATTTTGGCCGCTACATAAAAAAACGCCCAAAATTTGGTCAATGTATGGGCACCTTAAGGAGGTCTGCGAGTCTGACAGGTAAATCGACATGTCATCTGCATAAATTGAGACCTTTTCCTTCAAATCATGAATAGGCCTATAATACCTGGGTCTGAGCACAAGGGTTTTGGCAAAGGTTCTATGGCAAGTATGAAGAGTAAAGGCGAAAGCTCACATCCTTGTCTAGTTTCTAAATATGTGTGAATATCAAATTATTAATATGCATTTGGGCTTTGGGTTTATAGTAAAGGAGTCTGACCCACTGAATGAGAGTTTCCAAACCCAAATGTATCTAGTACCTTTTGGTACTAGATACATAAGGCCATTCGACTAAGTCAAATGCCTTTAGGGTGCCCATGGCCACTATACACAGTGCAATTTGATTGTACAACAAATCCCATGAGGCCCCACCAAGAAACTTTCATTACAACTTACTGGTAAGGGACCAGGTATCCAACACACCCGAAGTGTCAGATACCAGCAGTGCTTGTAGCTCTGAAAGAGACTCAAACGGTAAGTCTTCTTTTACAGGGTAAGTATTTTTACCTAGTTAAAAGAAAATCTATATTTTGGTGACTTAGCGGGTTGCTATAAAGTCACTATGTTTAATAGTAAGGGGGAAGAAAGGCAATTCCAGCAAAATATGAAACTAAAGATGAACTTAATGGTGGAAGCTGTGCCCAAAAAAGGCCAAAGCAGAGAAAGAATTTCTACTTATCAGTATTGTTTGTGATCTCCCTGACACTGATCTTTTCCCCCATTACTGATGCCTAGCTCTGTCTTTAGATGGCCTTCTTGGTAGAAGCTGGGCTTTGCTTCCTCATGTCAGAGCTGCTCCCCTAATGACCGATAAAGAAATAATCAAGCAGCAGGGGAGGTGAACGAAGCACAGATAGATCTACAGAATGAAGCAGGGAGAGGCATGCAATACAGATTCCTCCCCAGCAAGCAGCACATTAATGGCATCACCAAATCCCATGAGACTAGCAGTAGCTCCTTAGATAATCTCACACTGCAGATATACAGCTATGAGGCGGTAGGCACAAACTTGCATACTACAAAGGTATTTTTCACAAGAAATTCAAGACAAAGGGTACATTGTTCAGGGTACTATATAGGTGCAATTAACATTTCTAGGTGTTCCCTATAACATAGAAACCCTTCACTGTCCATTAACACCATCACACCTCTAAGTGTGTTCATTGCCTACTGTACTGCTGCACATTGTGGTTCCTTCCACCGTTCCATACATCACTACTGTGTCCTATAGGGATGACTCGGGCTGGCTGATGGAGCCATAGAGCGCATAGGGAGGTGCACAGTATCTGGCACTTCAAGAAATGTTAAAAGGTAGAAGATCTTTCAGCAAGATTATTTCTTCAATGCAGATCACGTGTTATTTAACCCTAAGGGGCTCATTTATTCAAATAAATAAAAGGGGAAAACCTGCCCAGTGACCAATTAGTTTCACATTTTATATCCAGATATATGAAACATGTTATCTTGTCCCAATACTGAATGCAAATTCTCTTTCTTTTCTATAAACTTTCATCTACGAATTCTGTGTATGATAAAATGTAACGGCTCATTAGATCTAGATGACGTAAGATCAGACGTTTCCCAATTGGTCGGATCTTATTAATAAGTCAGGGTGCAGGGAAAATAAACACAACCACAAGTAGGGAAAAAAAAGGATTGTAATGATTATTCAAATGTATTATATACATAAAACAGATCATGTGAATGATGTTTTCTCAAAGCATTTCATTTAATGACAGATGTTTTGTTGTTTTCCAAATGCCACTACAGGAACTCCCTCCTGGACACAAGTTAACATAAGCTGCAATGCGGTGCCTTTAGTTAAAGCTGCAGTCCGGGACCAGAATTAAATAAAAAGGCCACTAAATTCAGTTATGTACCGATGTAACAATCCTTATATGCCTTCTAAAATGCAACTAATGGATATAGCTAAATGTTACCTAGGATCAGCCTTTAAAGAAGAACTCCAGGAAAATATTTTAGTAACCCTTGCAGTAGGGTTAGCCACACTGTTTGTTTTTGTCTAGGTGCTAAAAAAAAAGTTATACTCACCTGAACTGCTGAGCCGGCTCGCTCTCAGACGGTCCCAGGAGCCTCTCTACCCTTCCGCTACGGCGGTCTAAGGTTGCAAAAATCATTACATTTTATACAAAGTGTATAGACGTGAGCACGCGAAGGAACATTTCAGTGCTACAGCATAGCTGGACACAGGCCTCAGAGACCGGGAAAGCAGGAAGCCAGTTCAGTTGAGTATAACTTTTTTTTATCATCTAGTCAAAAACAAGCAGTTAACCCTTGCAGTGCGGGGGTAGCCCCACTTCAAGGGTTAATAAATGTTTTGCCCGGAATTCTTCTTTAAACCAATGTAGAGTCTGGAATGTGCTAACGAGAGCAGAGAGATGACTTCCCAAGTCTGCTGCTGTTCATTCACTGTCCAATCACAGGTTGGAGGCAGGAAGGTGACCTTAGGCTGGGTTCACACCTTTTTTATGCTTGTTTTTCTCGCGTTTTTTCATTCAGTGAAATGCGAGTTTCACTGGCGGTATGATTTTTTTTTTTAGTTGCACTTTTAAACTTCCAGCCGGCTCTGCCCCCCTGCAATACGGCCACTCGCAAGGGACGGAACCTGGAAGTCGGCAGCCGCCGAAGACACAGCGGGGATCGCGGACAAGGTAAGACCTGTACGCTGTATTCCCGAGTGTGGCTCGGGGTTACCGCTTTGTTAACCCCGATCCACACTCGGGAATACCAATGGCAACGCGCTGCAACGCCCCAAAGAAGCTCCTGTACTTCTTTGGGCGTAGGGCGTTCTGCAGCGCGTTCTTACGCGCTGTAAAACGCCCAGGTGGGAACCATGCCCGTAGGCAATCATTGGTTTTCACATGCTGAGCGTTTTACAGAGTGTAGGAACGCGCTGTAAAACGCCCAGGTGTGAACCAGGCCTTAGATGTGTTGCTCAACTGCAGAAGAAGAAAAAAAAAAAAAAAGATGGGTCAACAAACTGGCTGCGTTGTCTGGTATGACTATGTAAATCTCAGGAATGGATGGATAGAAATATAGATCTTGGCAGGTAAAACTGCCCAATATATGCATTGCAAAGCTGTATTTAGTTTAAACGGTGTCTCTCTACTTGGTGCCCAGCGGCATGTTGAAGAGGTAGACACACACACATGCACTAAAATCACCACTTGACAGCTTATGTTGCCTAGTATCTAGGGGGAGCTTAGTTTAGCAGAGGTAAGGTATGTTTTTAAAGGAAACCTGTACTGAGAGAAATATGCAGGCTGCTTTGTTGCCCACTTTCTATTTGTCCTCTTTCTATTTGCCTGGCAGTCATCCTTTTCCTCTGACTTACAATACAGTTTAAGTTGCTGGTCATTTCAAAAGGAGACCAGTAATGAAAGCCCTCATATTTCTCTCAGCTTTTTTCACAGGGACGAATTTATCAAAACTGGAGCAGCCAAAATCTGGAGCAGATTTGCATGGCAACCAATTAGCTTCTATCTCTCATTTTCAAATCCCAACTGAGCAAACTGAAAAGAGATGCTGATTGGTTGCCCTGGGCAACTGCTCCAGTTTTTACAAATTCCCTCCATTGTGCTTCTGTTTACGAGCACACAACCAGAAGCACAATGTATCATATGCAGGAATACAATAACTGGGAGATGAACATTTTGTTTCAGCTGAATATCGACTTGTAAGTCTTCATGTGTTTTTTCACACTCTCTGTTATCTCCTGATCATTTTTGCTCCGGTTATAATAGTCTGTAAACAATCCATCTGGGTTTATCAAGTATATGATAATTGTGTGATCAACAATGTAGTCGTTATCCTCATCAGGAGGTCCAGCGCTGTAGTAGACACGATATGCCTGGGCTACCGCTTTCACCTGATCCGGCGAGCCAGTCAATCCCTTGAGTCGTGGGTGAAATTCACGAACGTACTTCGCCAGTTCTGCCACACTGTCGCGTTCCGGATCAACTGTAATGAAAACTGGCAAAACCGGGGGCACTGTGGGTTCTTTCTCAAGCAGAGACACAACAGAGCACAGCTTCTGCAGTTCATCCGGACAAATATCGGGACAATGGGTAAAACCAAAGTACATCAACACCCAGCTTCCTCGCAAGTCTTTTTTAGAACATGGCTGGCCGTTGTGGTCCAAAAGATTGAAGTCTCCCTGTCCAACAGCGATCGTTTGAAGTTGTTTTATTCGATCCAGCTTCTTTTTCTCTTCTTTTTCCCACTGCAAATAGCGCCATGCGACCACCGCAGCTCCGCCAATAGCAACAGTTACAAGCAACCTTGCTCGCAAGGTAATAGGAGACTTTGTAGAACCTGATTGCTGAGGTTTCTGTAGACAAGGAGATGTAAACAAGGATCTTGCAGGGGCAACACGTTTCATATATTTTCCTTCAGTAACAAATGTGACGAAGCTTGTTCCTCTTTGCTTCATGAAGTGGCATGGCGGCCATCTGCAGAAATGTTGGATATTACTTAACATCCTAAAAAACAAACGCTCAGTTAATAAAACTCAAATCGGCTAGTTTTTCATTCGATTGTGCAGAAATATAAGCACAGTGAGGTGTGTTACCAGATTGTTTTGGTGCCGCTCATTTCTAAATACCAGAGGAAGTAATAATAGCCCTTAGCCTTTTAAAGAATAACTCCGGGGGAAAATATTGTTAGCCCTTGTAGTGGGGCTACACCTGCACTGCTCGTTTGTTTCTAGGTGCAAAAAATAAGTTGTAACCATTCAGCTTCTATTCTCAGTTTGTTCAGTTAAGCTTTGAAAGTGAAAGCTAATTTGTTGCTATGGGTAACTGCTCCAGAGTCTGTCTGCTCCAGTCTTAGTAAACTGCCCTCTGTGAATGATCTCAGAAGAGGAATTGAACTGGAGGTAAGCTGCATTTGCCTATTGACACTATAGCCCAACACATGCTGGCACATGCCCTCAGTGCCCTTTCACACCATACTGCAACAAAAAATGCATGTGCTTCACCATGTGATAACAGGCACAGTGCAATGCATTTTTATGTGCATTGGAATGTGTTTTATTATCATCCATTGCTGAGAGCTTTTCAGTCCTATTTCCTAGAATGGTCAAAATAATTTCCAATGTTCAGTTGCTGTGCTTTGCGTTTACATGTGTGTTATGTTAAAATGCATACTTGCTGCATATCAATGCAACTCTACAGTGTTGCAGTGGGAACGAGGTACATAATAAACCATTGTTTTTCTTCCAGTGGGAACGAGGTACATAATAAGCCTCTATGTGCACTTGCAGTGGCCTGCATTGATCCGGTGTGGAAAAACGCAGGTCAATGCACATGGTGTGAATGGGGCCTAAGCATCATTCAGTTAAAAAGTTACCGTCTGCCTTAATGTGTTTTTTTTTTTTTAAATGCTTGACAATTGCTGTATAGTATTATTTGCAAACATGGAGGGAATTAGTCAAAACTGGAGCAGACAGAATCTGGAACAGTTGCCTGTGGTGACCAATCAGCTTCTATCTTTCATTTTCAAAGCTTAACTGAACAAACTCAAAAGAGAAGCCGATTGGTTGCCATAGACAATTGCTCCAGATTCTGTCTGCTCCAGTGTTTACGAACTCCCCGTTAAGCTTTCTGTATGACAAATGATACCCATGAAAAGCTAGGCATTTTGAATGTATGAAGTCACTTTCTTGCATTATATTTTTATTGTATGACTACAGATCACACAACTAGACCATAGTATAAAACCGCCTGAACAGACAGTGATTGTATATAGACCATGGATATGAAAAGCACGTGTTGCCCCCACCCATGTACAGACCTGATTCCCCTTACACTCTCCTGTGTCTTCCTGAGAAGGTTAAAAGGCTTTTACATAACAAGGAAATAGATATCGAAGTGTCCTGACGATGTGTTATTACAGCTGCGGGGTGTCGCCATTTTCTTGAAGATCATAATGGTATTATGCATTGGTAATGAATGCACAAAAATGGCTTCCGCTTTGAGCCGCAGTTGGTTTATTTCGACCTCTTGCGACTACGTAGCAGTCGAGGCTTGGTTAGCTTCTTCCTTCGGTGCCGTGTCGCTCGTTATTGGCGCTCACACAAATGGGCGGAGTTTGTAAATAGACATGTGATAATTGGTGTGCGCGCAGAAACGTCGTCATGGCTTGTTGTTTTAAAGGGGGCAGCCTGGGGTTTGACACGACGGGCTACCATCTGTCCCTAATGTAGAAGAACTGGGTTATACTTGTAGAGTCAGATATCCCTCTTTCCTCCTCAGGTGTCCCTCTTTTTTGTCTAATATCAAAAAATTATATAACATTTTTTTAACATACTAAATACTATATGGAAACTATCACAGAAATCAAAGAGCAGAATACTTACCTGCCATGCATCAAAGACCTACCTCCCTGAATTACAGCCAAGATTTTAGCAGGCGACCTGCACCCTCTGTGTCCTTCAGACCTCATTAACACAGGCAGAAAAAACAGGCAGTTGATCCATGTTTTTATTGGACACCTACAATTTTACATGGCAGCCACTCAGGGGGGTACACCTGGTCAGGGGTGCTACACTTTTTGACGCCTTTGTTGTTGGGTAGCTAGCGTTGCTCGTTATGGGGAGGGGGAGCTGGTAGTGCTCGTTACCAGGTGGAGGGGTTGTGGAGCTGCACATTATTTGGGGGAGGGTGTCAGGGGGATGCAGTGCATGGTACCAGCGCCTCTGTACGGTGTCCCACCCAGCTCTTGGCAACCAGTAATGTCAGTGAAATGGGCGGGACACTGGCTAGAGCATCACAGGTTGCTAAGAGCTCTTAGCAATCTGGGATGTTCTGGCCGGAAAGGGGGTTCTGGGGCACAAACACATTCTATTTTTAATATTCAGACTCAGACCCCCTTATTGTCACAGTGGCAAGCTCACCTGCCTCCCACGACCCGATGAGATGTCGCCTGAGGCTACTGCCTCTGGCTGCCTTATTATAGGGACAGTCTTGTGCATGGTCACAGTTGTGAGGATCCGCAGGTAAACCTTTATTTACACACAAACAATAGTTTAACGGAAATTATTACCGTTCCCAGCAAATGCTGTGACAATTCTAACCTTAAGTAATGCCTGTGATGCTCGCTGTTCCTCCAGACAGAAAAAAAAAGATTTCACAATATACTAGCGCTCTTCACTTACAGTGTAGCGATTTAAAGGATTTCAACTTTAAAGGATCATTTTTTGAAACGGAAAAACTGCATAAAAATACAGATAAGATGTTACACAAAAGAAACAAATACATATTTGTATTTTACCACATGCTACCATCTAATAAACCATAGATTATTGTAGGTTATGAAATTAGCTTTTATACATACCAGAATTGACACTCCCTCTAAAGGGGTAATGTGTGTCTTTGGTCCTCTATACCTCATAAGACAGAGGTGCATGGTATGCATGCGACCAGAGTTTCATGATGCATATATATTTCTTATTAATTTAGCACCCCCAAATCCAAAGTTATGATTTCTGGGTACGTTTTGGAAACTAGTTTTGTTAACAGGGTTGTTTACAGGTCATCTGACTCCAGACATTCTATGTGTATTCCACTTGGATCTGCCAATTGATAACTAATTAGTGTCCTGGCTGCTCAGTGCTTTATGATACTCCATTAAGAGGTTGGCCATAAAATCATAAAACAGATCCGGCTACACAGATCTCTGGAGTTCTGCTAATTAATGTTTTGCTAACTTTGTTAGTTGCAATTGTGGGAGAATTAAAGAACTTTTAAAGACTCTCATAACAAATATTTAATCAGTATGCTGGTCTGATTATGTCGCAAAGTGTCAAATCTCAACAGTAGTAGGGGGCAAAGACGTTCACTGCTTAGTTCTGGGGTGCCCAGACCTCACTATTGTCTCAATAGCCACAATGCTTTGCAGCAATCTTTTTTTACAGCATGCCGTGTTTGGCAGACAGTGCAGTTTGCCAAAAGTATTCAGTGAAGGTAATGGAACCACGTGCCAAGTGTTTGCATTGACTTCACCACTGGACACATTTATCAAGCGGTACTGCCTGCCAAACACAACATGCTGCAAAATAAATGTAGTATTTTATCTCCAGGTAAAATTACCTCTGGGGATCAGAAAAACCCACAAACAGGCATTAAGAAGCAACATTATTGGACTGGCTCCAAAACGCCTCGGAAAAGTGATCCACTGTGTATTGCTTTTTAGAGGTTTGTGTGAGTGAAGCCTCCTACTCATCCATGCGGGGATCTGCAGCGAACCTTGCTCCAGCGTAGGTGCTTGCGATACTTCTAGTAAATCCCACGTTCTTCTACCCATGTGTAGGATTTGTTGCTGTGGCATCAGTAGTAGATTGAAGGAGGGACGGAGGAAATAGGTGCCAGAACAAGATGACGCTGGAGTAAAGGTAGTGTCGCAAAAGTATTGTAGAGTAAGCAGAGATACTTTTCTCACCATTTCTAAAACATCTGGAGAACTTTTAGAATGGGCATCTTTAGTGTATTTGACATTGGATCTCATAGTTCACTTTCACTTTATACACCAACTGCAAGTTTAAAAAAAAAATCCCCTTAACATGTTAAAATAAATAAGTAGCTCTGGCTAATCAAGTCTCCTGGTGCTGTTCCCTGCATGCTTTGCAATCTAGCATCTTCTTTTTCCAGGTTAAACGACACTGGGCTTCTGGAGACGGCAACCCGCAGATGCTGCAGTGCCGTCCATCCGTTTTTTTACTACGGGCGGACGGCAAGAGGTTAAGCCCAGGGCATCAAAAACCTGCCCCCTGGGTACATGCCAGTACACCAAATATACAGCGCTAGTAGTTCAATTTGTGTATAGAGGATTCATAGAGGATTCATATTGGTGTCCACACGTCCACCCCCTTCAGAGTGCGTACTTACCGAAATATGTTGGCTGCAGCAAACAGCCCAAAATGTTTTGTCTTCTATGACTCAGTGTTGCGGCGTCTTCAGTGAATAGACACTTTACCATTGATTTCACAATTATATATGCTTGGTTGATTCACTTTTGCACAAGTTGCCTTTATGCACTCAACATTGAGGCCATCATCTATTTCACTATAGTGATATTAATTCATTCATTCATTCAGTGTAGTTGAAAAGGTGGATAATATCTGGGTGTCAACAAGTGTAGACCCCCTTTTCTTCCTCTATACACAAATTGAACTACTAGAGCTGTATATTTAGTTTAAGAACCCAGTTGTCTATAGTGCAGCAGCTTTTCATTTATCATTTAATTTATTTAATATATTTATAACATCCACTAAGCGCAGATTTAAAATTAACACATGCCAGTACACCACCCTGGACTCATAGGAGAATGCTTCAGAGAGTGGCACTATGCCCACTCTGCAGCAGTCACCACCTGCTCAGGAAGAGGACCTGTGATGTCATGCAACTGAACAGAGGAAATGGGTGTTTATACAGTATTTCCTTTTTAAACAAGCGGGGAGGGGGGCGGTCAGGGGACTAGCTAGATCTGCAGAAAACTAAAACTTTTAAACATCAAGGAGCAGCATTCATTGTAACTGATTTAATCACCATTTGCAATAGCTTAAAAACCTTTTGACTTTATTGTCACTTTAATTAGCTCCCAAAGTCTGGATAAACTAATGTTCTGGCTTACACTTCTCCCATTCTGTAGGATATTTCAAGATACAAGTCATGACGCCACTTGATTTATGGCCCAACATGACAGAAGAATCCAGCTGCTCACTTGAGGGATGGACTAATCTCTATGGCAATCTGCTTACCATTCCACACATCCTCAAGCACTAAATACCCACCTTGTGGTGCCTGGAACACAGGGTTCTGGTCACTGTTTCTTGTTGATCAGTAAGGCTGCCCAACAAAGGGATGGACAGACAGGAAAAACACAGAAGGGCACCTATATGTACATGCATTGTAATGCTGTGGTCAGATTAATGGGTGACAGGTGTATTTTAAACATATATTTACTTTGGATTGAATGTGAAAATGTTAAAGGCTATTTTGGTTTTTTTTGCTGTCACAATAATAAAATGTTGGACTTCTGTCCCATGAAAGGAAAACTTCACATTTATAAAGAATAATATATATAATTGACCCATGAGCCATTTTGGAACGTGTTATTATAATTTATGTTTCCATTATAAACTGCAACCACTGCAATTTTTTGCAACAGTTAAATGTCTCT